CAAAATGCACGGCGTCATGCAAAAGGTACAAGCAATAATTCCGATTACAGCGATAATGTGGAGAATATTGATCTTGTGTTGAGCCCAATGAGCTTTTCATCAAAAAATAGAGCAAGGGTGTTCCTTTAGCATTATCACTTTGACTCACACGCTAAAAATGGCGGACGTGCAACAAGAAACTGAGGATATGATCGTGACGCAAGGCTGTCAATCAATATTGGTGGGCGGGGGGATCGCACTCCTACGTAAAGTCAGTCTGAAAACTGCTCCAATTGGTCCACCGTTTTTTGTTGTTTAATTGATAAAAAAGGCTTGTGTGTGTTTATATCACCCGAATATAATGGTCTATACACTATACTTGCACACATGTCTGTCCAAACAGCTTGAAAAGTAGATTTTTAGAACTATTTAGTGTTAATTTAGCTCCTAACTATTTAGGAGCTGATTGAGGTCACTACAACAGACGAATTTGGATCTAAAGAGCCTTTGTGGCTACAATGGATATTTTTTCCAAGCTCTAAGTATAGACTCAAGAAGAGCCGTGTACTTTGAAACAGGACCAATAATGGAGCTGATTTTAATAATAATAAAAAAAAAATTCTAACATATTTATGAATGTGTATTTCAGTTTAATAAGCAGCAATACTACTGAACATCACTGTTCCACTGAACAAATACATTGTTCTTTCAACAACAGCGTGTGGAACTTACAAACTTCTCGCTTTATATATTTTCATGTTAACACACTGAAGAATTCAATCAAGAATACAAATTAGAACTTGTGAATCAGAATCAAATCAAATCATGACACAAAACTGAGAGCCAAAGTAGCCATACCCAACCAAAGCATCATTCTTGTGTAGCATTACACCTCAACTTTGTAACATTGAAGAAGATATGACCTCCAGGTGGCACGGTGGCTCAGTGGTTCGCACTGTCACCTCACAGCAAGAGGTTGGCTGGTTCGAGTTCCGGTTGGGCCAGTTGGCATTTCTGTGTGGAGTTTGTATGTTCTTCTTTTGTTGGCATGGGTTTCTTTCCAAAGACATGATAGTTTCAACTATAAGTAACAAGTATATACTTAAAGTTATAAAAGCATATAAGTAACAACTAAAACAAGCCAGACCAGCATGAATTAGCAGGTTGTTAGCATGTTTTTAGCATGAATTAGCATGTTGTTAGCATGTTTCTAGCATGAATTAGCATTTTGTTAGCATCATTCTGGCATAAATTAGCATGTTGTTAGCATGATTCTGGCATAAATTAGCATGTTACTAGCATGTTTTTAGCATGAATTAGCATGATTCTAGCCCGAATTAGCATGTTGTTAGCATGATTCTAGCATGAATTAGCATGTTGTTTCTGTCTTCCAATAAATCTCAAACAAGAATCAACGTTTATCCTTTTCTCATCATCCTTTTTCTCGTTGCATTATTAATTTGATTATTTGAGTCAGTTTTTACCTGTGAAATGATTTTGACTTCATAATAAAGGGAACACATTGCTTAATATAAGAATGTTCAGTGCATCTGACATCGTTGTGACAACCTTTAGCCACAACGTAGAATCCTAAACCTTTTTGCAAGGTTGGTACAACGTTGTAAGGAGGTCGCTACGTTGAGGCAACGTTGTGTGTTTGTTGGGATTCACCTTTTAAATGACTGATGATTCTGGAAGAGTTGGTTACTTATGATCAGCGCTGTGTCAGCATGTAGCATGTTCACACATAAAATCAGTACAGTTCGCAGTTAAAACCATTTTCTACCTTTTCTTGTAACTCTATAAAATCCACTGCAATTAATGTCAACAAAAATCTTCAATCTCAAGAATATTAATCATTCTTCCAACCTGGTAGCGCTTACATATATCCAGTGGTTATTTAGGCTAGAGTGGGTTAGTTTGGTGAATAAATCTGTGGTTGAAATTAATTGTCAGAGTCGATTCATTGACCTGTTCATAAATACAACCGTTGCTTAGTTACTGAATAACTGTCTTATTCACTTAAGACAGGGCATTACCGCCACCTACTGGCGGGTTTAGTTAATGCATGGATAACTTAATTTTGACTATAGTTGTATATTTTTCTTTATATTTTATTTGAAACATTATTCATGTAAAAAAGAATTCATGAAGGTAAAGAATTCACAGAAAATGTTTATTTAAATTGCAAATAAACATTCAAATAAATACAAACAAATGCTCAAATGAAGAGACTGCAGTCTAAGCGGAAGAGAGAATGTCTAGTTTTAATAACTCATTTCTAAAAACTGATTTATTGCATCTTTTTCATGATGACAGAAAATAATATTTGACTATTTATTTTTTGAAGACACTTCTATACAGCTTAAAGTGACATTTAAAGGCTTAACTTGGTTTATTATGGTAACAAGGCAGGTTTGAGTAATTAGGCAAGTTATTGTATAACGATGTTTTGTTCTGTGTAGACTATCTGAAAAAATAAAGCTTAAAGGGGCTAATAATTTGACCTTAAAATGGTGTTTAAATAATTAATAACTGATTTTATTCTAGCCAAAATAAAAACAATTAAGACTTTCTTCAGAAGAAAAAATATTATCAGACATACTGTGAAAATTTACTTGCTCTAATAAACATAATTTGCAAAATATTTAAAAAGGAAGTAAAAAATTTGAGGGGGGATAATAATTCTGACTTCAACTGTATGTTTTTCTAATGTTGTCACTAATGTTATTTAAATGAAAAGAAACAGTTTTAGATCAAATTTTAAAAGTCCAGTTACATACAAACATTACTAAATTAGTTCATTTAAATTAAAAACAAAATGAATCACTAAATACCACACATATATCTTTTAAAACTATTATTTAAAATGAGAAATTACACCGTGCCCTAACTTTAAGCGACCAGACAAGAGTCCAGCTACAATTAATTTGTTTCTGTCCACCCCAGATGCACTATGACATGACAGAAACATTGAAATGGTGGAACAAAATTTTGCATCTCTGGAACAAGTGTTATTACACACAATATTTAGCACAAGTTTTACTTCAGTGTATTAAGACTATATTCATTCAGTTACCTGCATAAAATTACCTGTGTTTGTCCATTTTTTCTTCTATTTATCTTCTCTTCTGCGTTGTTTTATTTGGTGCTTTTTTATAGGACCTATCGTAATCAAGTAAACTGTATGTAACTGTGGGGAACAATGTGTGGGATCAGTTGTTTTCAAGAGACACTTTTTTTGTTTAATATTTTAAATAAATAGTTTTGTAGTATGGGTTATACTAAATAAATAGTAAATTATTAGTAAAGTATGTTATTTAAAAAAAACTACATAATAATAATAAAAATAAAGTTAACCCCCCCACCCCACATTTCTGTTTAACGGAGGGAAGATTTTTTTCAACACATTTCTTAACATAATTGTTTTAAAAACTCATTCTTAACAACTGATTTATTTCATCTTTGCCATGATGACAGTAAATAATATTTGACTAGATACTTTTCAAGACACTTCTATACAGCTTCAAGTGACATTTAAAGGCTTAACTAGGTTAATTAGGGTAACTAGGCAGGTTAATGTAATTGAGCAAGTTATTGTATAACGATGGTTTGTTCTGCAAACCATTACATTTTTTTTTTTTGCTTAAAAAAATGCTTAAATGGGCTAATAATACTGACCTTAAAGTGGTTTTAAAAATTAAAAACTGCTTTTATTCTAGCCAAAACAAATAAGACTTAATAATAAGTAATATTTATATTATACTATAAATAATAAAACTCCAAAAAACTATGATCAGACACACAGTGAAAATTTCATTGCTCTCTTTAATAATAATTTTAGAAATATTTAATAGTGAAAATTAAAAGGTTTCCCATAGATGAGTTGCAGCTGGAAGGGCATCTGCTGTGTAAAACATATGCTGGATAAGTTGGCGGTTCATTCTACTGTGGCGACCCCAGAATAATAATGGGACTAAGTCGAAAAGAAAATGAATGAACGAATTAAAAGGGGGGCTAATAATTCTGACTTCAACTGTATATTTATATATATATTTATATAGGCCTATATATATATATATATATATATATAACTGTGTGTGTGTGTGTGTGTGTGTCTGTATAACGTGGATGTTTGAGCACTTTAAACATATATTTTTTTTTGCTAATTATCATTCAATATTTTAGACAGAAACAGTAAAGATGCGACACTATATAAAGATTCATCAGACAAAATCTCTTTTTCTCCAAGAACCAGTGAGTTCCACCTTCAGCCTGGTGTTTGGATTGTTAAACGGTTAGAGGCCGTTCATCACAACGAAGAAAACTATACAAATCAAGAAACATGAAAGGAAAAGTATCACCTGAAGCAACCAAGTTTTGAGCAAATCCATGCAAATGTCAACCTGAAAAAGTTTTCTCCAGAATAGCAAAACTCTTTGTAGGTTATTTTTATGTGTGGGCTTGTGTTTTTCAGTACTGTAAAATATTCAAAAATGTCTCTGTCAATGTTTTCAACCAATTATTTTTCATTTACCAAAGTCACACAAGTGCCAATTTCACATCTGTCACATCCACAACAGAGAGGAGTCAAATTCAAAATAAACCTTTCTCATAAATGCAAAAATATCAAATAAAATATATTATATATATTATTTATGTTCTATAGTGAGCCGACTCTGATTTTGTTTCACATTGTTTCTTTTGGGTTGTGCAGTTTAATTCACAGAATTTCTACAAAGTATGTTGTTTTCTGTAAACCCGCAAACTTATTTTTGGTCACATCCATAACGCATGATTATTTTCCTCATTTAAAATATTAAAAATGGTTACAGATTGATTTTTTTCTGATCTCATAATTCTGTGGTCAGTTGTTTTGGAAAATATAAACAGATGTTTCAGTATAATGTAAGATAATGCATAACATATGCTTTTTCTGTGATTTTAGGTTTCACGTTTTGACAGGAAATGTCACATCCACAATGCTGAAATTTCTCTATTATAACAGATGGATAATGTAGATAATACATCTTTCCTGATATTTGAGTCTTACAAAATAGACAATTAAAACTGTACAGTGTAATACTGAGACAGCAGAAGATACAGTAAGTCTCCTCTCCTCCAATGTTCTTCACAGATTCTTCTCACCAGACTCAAGAGTGAAAACTCAAGCAAGCTGATTGAGCTGAGGGAAATCATACTCTGTCAGCACTGACTGTACTTTAATATAAGCTAAATACCTCTAAACACAGCTTATAATCTGATCACAGTTCTTACTGTAACTAAATCTTGTTATTCTAAAGGTTTTCTATAGGAAAGCTGAATACAGTAAATGCTTTATTTGCCTTTTTTCTAGAAATAACTTAGACATGAATCTCTTCACTGTGATTCTGCTTTGTCTGTGATGAATTATTCAATCACTAACAAAACCACATCAAATATGTAAAGAATGTTTATTTGTGTTCTGTACATTGATGAAATGTTAAAAATACATGATATTTATAAGAAATAGATCATTCTGTACAGGTTTAACTGTCTTCATGTACCAATCTCTGCTTTGCTATATGCAAATATACAATGTGCTGGTCATTAATAGTAGACCTGTTGTCTAACTGGTCTAAATCCTCCACATCTGTCTGCTTTAGACTGGCTGATGTGTGTCGTCGATGCTCTGGTTTCAGCTGGCGCTGCATTTTCAGCTCCTCCAGCATCCACACAGAGTCTCACAGATGCAGCAGAGGAAGCTCAGGATCAGGAAGCTGTTCTCTGCAGTTCCTCTGCCATTCCTGCTCACCCTCTACAAATCATTGAAAGCATTTATCTACACTGACTCTAACAATGCAAAGTCACGACTGCTGGCATTCAGATAAGTGTAATGCCACTGGCCACCTGTTCACTGCAACCAGGGGTGGCGCTCAATGTCATCTAAACTGGGCCGATCTGCTGGCGCTGCACTGAGACACCAGCGAATCAGCTGACGGCACTCTGTTCCACACAACACAGCCTTCAGAACCACAAAAGCACAAACTTCTGCTCGCTCACCACATCATCTTCATCTCTTACCTGTCGACAGCTTCCTCGGGAAGTGCAGTCTGCTTTTGGACGTGACCCTCTGTGCGCCTCTGAAGGGGAAACAGTCGCACAGGATGTTGTAGAGAGTCACGCCGATGGACCAGACTGTCAGTGGAGAGGCATGATAGCGATGATGCCGAAACCACTCAGGAGGAGCAAAAGCTGGAGTGCCTGAGAGACACAAGAAGAGCACAAACACACACTCTAAAGGCTCCAGTACACACAAACTCCCTTTGGAGAATCACAGCAAGTTCACAAACATCCTCAGAGCGTTTCCTTCAGTCACACAAACCAACCTGCAAAGTATCTGTAGGCCGAGTCCTTCATCAGATCTCCACAGCCGAAGTCCAGCAGCTTGATGTCGTGTGAGTCTGTGGAGATCAGCAGATTCTCTGGCTTGACGTCTCGGTGCAGGACGCGGCGGCTCTCGCAGTGTTTCAGCGCCGCGATCAGCTGCACCAGCACTTTCTTGGCCAGAGGCTCGTCCAGACAGCCGTTCTCCTCACAGAAACTCTGGAGATCTTGGCAAGGAGCCGGACGCTCCAGGATCAGGACGTAGCGTCTGCGATGGTCAAACCAGTCCAGCAGCTGCAGGACACTGGGACAGACAGGAGCTGAAGAGACGCGGGTCATCAACGCCACCTCCAGTGGCAGACGACCCTGACCGTCCTGCAGGACAAATGCTTCGTTACATCCAGGACTGAATCAAACACAACAGATTCACGCTCAACTTACAACTTTCAATCTGGTGTCCGTCGGCTCTTTAGACACGTACTTGATGGCCACCTGTAGACAGATAAAGCACAGTAAATAAGCCCTGCCTGATCGGGACACGGGACATTTACTGACATCAACATTTCAAAAGCCTGTCTGAATGAAGGAGTGAAGGAAAAGTCTTACTGGCAGTCCATCAGACCTGCGGATCCCAGCAAACACAGAGCCGAATCCGCCTCGTCCCAGCAACGGGCCCTTGGCATATTGGTCTGCAACACAGAAGAGCAGCAGAAATGTGTTGAAGAGAAAACATGAGTTGAGTCTCTTTAATGACCAATCATTTCACAACTGAGTCTCCACTATAAGCCTGTGCTGACCTCTGCGAGAGCGTTTGGCAGGTCTCCTAGACGAGGTGGACGCCGTTTGCTGCTTCCTCTTCCTCTGATCTGTGGACACTGAATCGGCCAACAGGGAGGACAGAGGAGCCAAATAACCAGGAAGCCCACCAGAAGCGTCCCGTGTCTCTGTGTCCTGAACTGCTGTCTGGGTGAAAGCTGCACTCCTGGATCTGGAGCGGCCTGAGGATGAAATATCACAGACAGCAAACACTGATTATTGATTATTAATAAAACATCACTCACTGTCAGTGGTCACACTGCATTATTACAATCATTAAAACTGATTCAAGGAATAAAATACTTTCTCAATAAGTCTGTTTGTTTCTTTATTAAATAAAATAATATTTATTTGTTAGCAGGAGATATTTTAAGATTAAATGGCTTGATTTACACAATCTTCTTCATATTCATTTATTAAAACACAGTAAAACACAACATAAACATAGCAATAATAAACAAATGTCAAATGAAGAACACTCACTTCCTCTTTCAGCCATTTGCGCCATGAAGACCGTCCTGCAAAACTCCACCACAAGAGAAAATACAAACAAGAGAAAATATAATGACAAATCAATAAAAAACAACTAAAATGTCAAACACACAAGAAGAAAAAAATGCACAAACTAAAACAGAAATGACAAAAGAGCAATAAAATAAGCGTCTTAACAAGTAATCTGAACGATTAAAATAATTATATAATCTTTTCAAAGAAAAAATCCTCCGATGTCGTCCTGGAAAGAAAGTCTCCTCTCAGAAATCCTCAGGGCTTCTTGAAAAATCAGTTTCAGCACAAAAGTCTCTGCAAGTCTCTGAATTCGCCTCGTCTCTCAACCAAGATTTTCAGCGCTTTCAGTGTTTATATATCGAGTCATATAATAACACGCGTTACTATAGCAACTCAAATTTGAAAAAATCACGCATGTGGATGACGTAGCGCCTAAACACAAGGAATCAATAAATATTTTTTTCTATTTTTCATGTAATTATTGCGATTAGTAGTTAATCACCCAAAAGAAGATTTAACTCTCAGGAAATAATTTGTTAAAAAAAGAAGGTGTTAATTTTAGACATTATATAGTAGATAGCTATCTAGGTCCGTTGCTCCGATACGTCAAACGCGGCCGCCTTCTTAATCCGGTCATCAGTGCGCTATAAACAGACGCAACTGAACAGAGAAGCTGCAGTTTTATCGGATATAAAATACAATAACGCTTATATTTATGAAATAATTATAATTTTATGGTGTATAGGATTTAAATCAAACTTTGCTTATCAACACATTCATAAAACGTGTATATACACCTATAAATTACTCGCATATACACCTATACTACTGGATGTTCAAAACAACACAGATGAAACTTGTGTATAAACTTGACGCATGAATACACCCACATACACACGCACATACATATAAACTCGATCCTCACATAAACACTCACATTAACACACACGCACATACATATAAACTTGCTGCATGCAAACACAACTATACACTCTTGCATATACATATAAACTGGATTCTCGCATAAATACCCACATTTACATGCACATACATATAAACTCGCAGCATGCAAACACACCTATACATACTCGCATATAAATATAAACTCTGTCTATGCATATACACCCTCAACAACACGCGCACATACACAAACTTACTGCATGCAAACACACCTATAACATCTCGCGCAAACATACAAAAAATAAATAAATAAATAAAATTCACAAACATTTATCACAAATCTGGTTATTGCAAAGCTTATGAAATAGAAATAATGTGATTAATAGAGGGATTAAATATGTTAAATTATGAACATATGTTATATAAAATATTAGTCTATACAAATAGACTATTCAAAATAAGAAATATTTTTATTTAAAACCTTTTCATTTAATTAGGTAATTACATACACAAATATAAATGGACAGATAGAACCCTTAAAGGACGTTCAAAAAGCAACCAGAATTATAAATATAAATGTATACTCAAACTAAACTCCTCTATTCTATTGCAAATGTTAATGTAGCCTATAGTCTTCTTGTTTTGTTTTTTAAATTTTTATAATTATTTACAATGTGGGTGTCAAAATTGCAAGATTTTGGTATAATTTTGATTGTTAATTATCATATACAAAAAAAAAAAAAAAAACGCTGATTAAAAGTCTCTGCTCATCATGTTGGTCAAGTTAACCCCCATGGAAAAGCTATATATATTATCTGGACACTCCTTTTGTGTTTAATAACTACTACTTATATTTTTACAGCAGCTGGCATCCAGCATTTTGGTGCATTAGCCTGTTTATTGGTGACAGGAAAACCCACTTAAGTGCATTCCTGCCCCCTACTGGACATAAGTGTGTATCATAACCCTTGACGAATAGTGACACCAATAATAAAACAAACATAAAAAAACTAATATTAGACAAACATATTTTATTCAAAATGATTACTTAAGCAACTTTATATTTATTAAAACATAATAACATTTCCAATAATTTAATTGCATATTAAACCTTTAATTTTGCAGGAGCATTCCTTTGCATTACCTTTTTATTTATTTATTTTTTAGAATTAGGATAATCTATTTTCATAATTCAACAGATGTAATTTCTGTAATAATCACATTATTTCTGTTTCTTAAGGTTTGCAATAACCTGATTCATGACAAATAATAATCTTGCTCATTACACTCAAAGGACTTTTACGTTGAAATTAAACGACTTCCTTTTAAAGTGAAAAAAACTTCCTTTTACTGTGAAAATTCATGCATACACACATATGAAATCACTTGCATATATGTATATACACAACTAACTGTATATATGTTTGTGAATTTTATTTTGTATGTTTTCACAAGTGTCATTTGGGTGTTTATGCACACATCAAGTTTATATTCTTATGTGAGAGTTTATGGGTGTATATGCATAGATCAAGTTTATATGTATATGCAAGAGTGTATAGGTGTGTTTGCATGCAGCAAGTTTATATGTATGTGCGTGTGTTAATGTGTTTTATGTATGTGTTGATAAGCAAAGTTTGATTTAAATCCTATACGGCACCTCATACACACACACACACACACACACACACACACACACCTATCCTTATCCTTTTTAATCATTACCACTTATCTGTAATGTCAGTTTCATTCTGAAGTGGCATAGGAAATTAACAACAACAATAATAATAATAATAATAATAATAATAATAATAATAATTTATTATGGTTATCGCAAGTGATCCAATACTGAAATTATATATATTTTTAGCAAATAATATATTATTATTATTATTATTATTATTATTATTACTTCTATAGGTAAATAAATAAATATATAAAATGTAAATAAACAAAATGCTGGCTATATCGTAAAATTCGGTTTCAGATATTCCCTTCTTCTAAAACGCTTCAAATGTACAAATGAGTATAAATGAGCGACGCTTTTGATTATCAAAGTAATTAGGCTACGTCTTTTTTGCGTCAATTAGTTGACATTATTCATAGATATATATATATATATATTGAGCCATCTGGGATAGATTGAGCATGGCTGTAATTAGCACTGCCAGACGGAATCTGCGGACGTTTTTTGCTGTTTCTGCTGAGAATTTTGGTAAAAATCTGCGGATTTTATGCGAAATTATTTTGGGAGTATCCAGCTGCTCATAACTAAAACCCTAATATATATATATAAAAAAGTAATAAATTACTGAATAAAAACTTAATAAATTCTGATTTACACATTTACTCAAGTAAATAAACAGAATTAATAATGGGCTAAAGATCTGCAGAAATCTGCGAAATTCTGCGGAAAATCTGCGGAAAATCTGCGCAATTCTGCGTCCGCAGATTCCGTGTGGGCCTAAATTAGATACCATTTTTAATAAATTATCATTCCTCAAAAGGAAAATCTTTGTGTTTGGCTGGTTAAAGGATAATTCTAATAAATGTATAAAATATCTGTTGATTATTTTATTCTTTATTTAATTTTGCTCAGGCGTGACGTCAGATTTCCACATGCGTGATTTTTCAAATTTGAGTTGCTATAGTAACGCGTGTTATTATATGACTCGATATAAAAACACTGAAAGCGCTGAAAATCTTGGTTGAGAGACGAGGCGAATTCAGAGACTTGCAGAGACTTTTGAGCTGAAACTGATTCTTCAAGAAGCCCTGAGGATTTCTGAGAGGAGACTTTCTTTCCAGGACGACATCGGAGGATATTTTCTTTGAAAAGAATATATAATTATTTTAATCGTTCAGATTACTTGTTAAGACGCTTATTTTATTGCTCTTTTGTCATTTCTGTTTTAGTTTGTGTATTTTTCTACTTGTTTGTTTGACATTTCAGTTGTCTTTTATTGATTTGTCATTATATTTTCTCTTGTTTGTATTTTCTCTTGTGGTGGAGTTTTGCAGGACGGTCTTCATGGCGCAAATGGCTGAAAGAGGAAGTGAGTGTTCTTCATTTGACATTTGTTTATTTTTGCTATGTTTATGTTGTGTTTTACTGTGTTTTAATAAATGAATATGAAGAAGATTGTGTAAATCAAGCCATATAATCTTAAAATATCCCCCTCTAACTAATAAATGATGTTTTATTTAATGAAGAAACAAACAGACTTATTGAGAAAGTATTTTATTCCTTGAATCAGTTGTAATGATTGTAATAATGCAGTGTGACCACTGACAGTGAGTGATGTTTTATTAATAATCAATAATCAGTGTTTGCTGTCTGTGATATTTCATCCTCAGGCCGCTCCAGATCCAGGAGTGCAGCTTTCACCCAGACAGCAGTTCAGGACACAGAGACACGGGACGCTTCTGGTGGGCTTCCTGGTTATTTGGCTCCTCTGTCCTCCCTGTTGGCCGATTCAGTGTCCACAGATCAGAGGAAGAGGAAGCAGCAAACGGCGTCCACCTCGTCTAGGAGACCTGCCAAACGCTCTCGCAGAGGTCAGCACAGGCTTATAGTGGAGACTCAGTTGTGAAATGATTGGTCATTAAAGAGACTCAACTCATGTTTTCTCTTCAACACATTTCTGCTGCTCTTCTGTGTTGCAGACCAATATGCCAAGGGCCCGTTGCTGGGACGAGGCGGATTCGGCTCTGTGTTTGCTGGGATCCGCAGGTCTGATGGACTGCCAGTAAGACTTTTCCTTCACTCCTTCATTCAGACAGGCTTTTGAAATGTTGATGTCAGTAAATGTCCCGTGTCCCGATCAGGCAGGGCTTATTTACTGTGCTTTATCTGTCTACAGGTGGCCATCAAGTACGTGTCTAAAGAGCCGACGGACACCAGACTGAAAGTTGTAAGTTGAGCGTGAATCTGTTGTGTTTGATTCAGTCCTGGATGTAACGAAGCATTTGTCCTGCAGGACGGTCAGGGTCGTCTGCCGCTGGAAGTGGCGTTGATGACCCGCGTCTCTTCAGCTCCTGTCTGCCCCAGTGTCCTGCAGCTGCTGGACTGGTTTGACCATCGCAGACGCTACGTCCTGATCCTGGAGCGTCCAGCTCCTTGCCAAGATCTCCAGAGTTTCTGTGAGGAGAACGGCTGTCTGGACGAGCCTCTGGCCAAGAAAGTGCTGGTGCAGCTGATCGCGGCGCTGAAACACTGCGAGAGCCGCCGCGTCCTGCACCGAGACGTCAAGCCAGAGAACCTGCTGATCTCCACAGACTCACACGACATCAAGCTGCTGGACTTCGGCTGTGGAGATCTGATGAAGGACTCGGCCTACAGATACTTTGCAGGTTGGTTTGTGTGACTGAAGGAAACGCTCTGAGGATGTTTGTGAACTTGCTGTGATTCTCCAAAAGGAGTTTGTGTGTACTGGAGCCTTTAGAGTGTGTGTTTGTGCTCTTCTTGTGTCTCTCAGGCACTCCAGCTTTTGCTCCTCCTGAGTGGTTTCGGCATCATCGCTATCATGCCTCTCCACTGACAGTCTGGTCCATCGGCGTGACTCTCTACAACATCCTGTGCGACTGTTTCCCCTTCAGAGGCGCACAGAGGGTCACGTCCAAAAGCAGACTACACTTCCCGAGGAAGCTGTCGACAGGTAAGAGATGAAGATGATGTGGTGAGCGAGCAGAAGTTTGTGCTTTTGTGGTTCTGAAGGCTGTGTTGTGTGGAACAGAGTGCCGTCAGCTGATTCGCTGGTGTCTCAGTGCAGCGCCAGCAGATCGGCCCAGTTTAGATGAGATTGAGCGCCACCCCTGGTTGCAGTGAACAGGTGGCCAGTGCCATTACACTTATTTGAATACCAGCAGTCGTGACTTTGCATTGTTAGAGTCAGTGTAGATAAATGCTTTCAATGATTTGTAGAGGGTGAGCAGGAGTGGCAGAGGAACTGCAGAGAACAGCTTCCTGATCCTGAGCTTCCTCTGCTGCGTCTGTGAGACTCTGTGTGGATGCTGGAGGAGCTGAAAATGCAGCGCCAGCTGAAACCAGAGCATCGACGACACACATCAGCCAGTCTAAAGCAGACAGATGTGGAGGATTTAGACCAGTTAGACAACAGGTCTACTATTAATGACCAGCACATTGTATATTTGCATATAGCAAAGCAGAGATTGGTACATGAAGACAGTTAAACCTGTACAGAATGATCTATTTCTTATAAATATCATGTATTTCTAACATGTCATCAATGTACAGAACACAAATAAACATTCTTTACATATTTGATGTGGCTTTGTTAGTAATTGAATAATTCATCACAGACAAAGCAGAATCACAGTGAAGAGATTCATCTCCAAGTTGTTTCTACAAAAAAGGCAAATAAAGCACTTAATCAGTTTCCAGTAGAAAACAATCATAAAGAAAATATTTAACATTTAGTTACACTAAGAACTGTGATCAGTGTATAAGCTGTTTAGAGGTATTTAGCTTATATTAAAGTACAGTCAGTGCTAACAGAGTATGATTTTCCTCAGCTCAATCAGCTTGCTTGGGTTTTCAGAATTGAATCTGGTGGAAATATTCTGTGTAGATCATTGGAGGAGATGAGAGAGTCAGATTATTAACTTTACTTCTGCTGTCTCAATATTACACTGTACAGTTTTATTTTATATGTGGTATGCCTAAAATATCAGGAAAGATTTAATATCTACATTTATCTTTTATAAGTGCAATTCCAGCATTGTGGATGTGACATTTGCTGTCAAAACTTAAAACATAAATACACAGAAAAAAAGTTAACATTACATTGAAACATTTATATTTTATTAAATATTTAATATTTGTTTATATTTATATTAACATTTTTAACATTTTAAATGAGGAAAATAAACATGTTTTATGGATGTGACCAAAAAGTTTGCGAGTTTACAGTATACAACTTACAGTTGAGGTCAGAATTATTAGCCCTCTTCTTTTCGTTTTGTAAATATTTTCCAAATTATGTTTAACAGAGTAGGGAAATTTTCACAGTATGTCTGATAATATTTTTTCTTCTGGAGAAAGTTTTATTTGTTTTATTTTGGCTAGAATAAAAGCAGTTTCTAATTTTTTATGAACTATTTTAAGGACAAAGCTATTAGCCCCTTTAAGCTATATATTTATTCGAAAGTTTACAGAACAAACCAGCATTATACAATAACTTGCTTAATTACTCTAACCTGCCTAATTAACCAAGTTAAGCCTTTAAATGTCACTTTAAGCTGTATAGAAGTGTCTTGAAAAGTTTCTAGTCAAATATTATTTACTGTCATCATGGTTAATATAAAATAAATCAGTTAATAAATAACAATAATAATAAAATGAGTTAATAAAACTATTATGTTTAGAAATGTTTTGAAAACATCTTCTCTCCATTTAACAGAAAAAGGGCTAATAATTCTGACTTCAATTGTACAGTGCAATAATGCTAATCAAAAGAATAAGAGTTGGCTCTTTATAGAACAAACATGATAGACATTTTTGAGTATTTTACAGCACTGTAAATCACAAGCCTACACAAAAAGGGTTTCGCTATTTTGGAGAAAACTTTTTTAGGGCAAGGTTGACATTTGCATGAAATTGCTCAAAATTTGGTTCCTTCAGATGATACTTTTAATTTTTCTTGATTTGTATAGTTTTCTATGCTGTGATGAACGGCCTCTTACGGTTTGAAAATCCAGGCTCAGATCATCAGTGTGTCTGAAATTAGAAAAAACAGCCAAACACCAGTCTGAATAAAAGCCCTTCTTGTGATTCATGTAGTACTCAATTCAATTCAATTAAATTCACTTTAATTACTCAGGTGGAGAGAATTCTTGAGTTCCTGAAAGAAAGAGATTTTGTATGATGAATCTTGATATGGAGTCACATCTTTACTGTTTCTGTCCAAAATGGTATTCTCATAACCTAGACTCATGAACTCAGGCTTGAAGTTGCTGACTCTTTGGTTCTTGTTGTTATTTGTTATTAGGTGTGGTTTAGTTTATTAAGGACACCAGTTTAACTAGTAATATCAAGTCTCAAACCACAAGTTTATTGCAAATATCACAGAATCTTGCACAATACATATCACAGAATATCTGCAGACTCTTACTGGAGAAGCCCATCAGCTTGACCAAGTCTGTCTGTGTTGATCTGCAGGTTCTCCAGTTTTATGTCTCGATGAAACACCCCACAATGGCAGCACAGATTGAGGGACACTGTTTCCTGCATGATACAACGTGCTCAGTTTTCCTTGATGGAGCCTCAGTGAGACACCTTAAAGTCAAATAAGTCTTGTCAAGGTGAGAGACGTTCAGGATTATGATGTACAGGTCAAGTTGCTCCAGTCAGTCCAGCAGCTGAGTAATATCTGTATCTCTAGGCAGGATTAAGACAAACTGCTAATGGAACGGGACCAGGCTAGAAGAAAGATCAGCGTTGGACCGAGGTGCTTTCGCAATAAAACTTGTTTATTTGCCTGTTTAAAACAAAGGAAAATGTATTAAACAATTGACAATAAGCAATCAAACATGTTACAATTATGTTCTCAATTTGTCAAGAGCAAATATATATATATATATATATATATATATAATGTAGAAAAATTAGAATTCCTCAAAGCCATCCTTCCCAAGAGTTTGCTTCATAGATGCAGCCATATAATCCCTCACCAAAGAATTTAAAAGCAGTTGACATGAGATGTGTGTAATGGCAGTGTGTTTAATGTTGAGGTTATGGCTGTAAACTCACCATAACAGACTGTACTGTGGTGGACCAGGAGGACTTCAAGACCTCTAGAGAGTTTCCTGAAGACCATGATCGTCTTCTAGAGCACATGAACTGTACTGGTGAGAATCAATGAAAAGCATGTTTCAGTCTGATGACTATTCACAATTATACATTGCACACTCTTATTATGTTGTTTGTTCAGTACTATAATATTTCTTTAAATGTTTTAAAACCATATCAGATTTTTATGGTATATTATGGAATGAAATATTGGTCAAATCTTTTTATTTTGTTTAAAATGTATATATGTTTTATTGATTGTGTTCGAATGAAAGGATACTTAGATAAAACTGAAAATGATGTAGGCTTTATTATGACATATCATACCATGCAGATCTACAGTAAATGTATCATTCAATAACAAATAGTCAATTTAAAAAACATTTCAGATCACAAACTGTCAGGTTTTATAAGAAAATGTATTTTCAAGATGATGTTTTATATTAAACATTATTTTTTTAGGCTATTATATGTATACAAATCTGAAATCTGAAATCCTTTGAGTCAACATACATGACAATTTCAAATTAATATCTGTTACTTATGTCCAAATCTCCACATTCAACCCTCATAAAATATTTTTGTTTCAGAAGAGTTCTTAATTTATGAAACATGTTTTTTTAAAGTTCCTCTTAAATAAGAAAACTCATGCTTGCTCATCATCATTTTCTCTCATCCTTCTGCAGTTTTAGCAAACAGGTGTTCCTACACTGCCTCCTGCTGGCAGGTATATAGTACAGCATATTCAGAACAAGCTTTTTTTAAACAAAAAATAAATAAACAAACAGATAAACAGCCTCAGGAACACACATATATATATATATATATATATATAGTCTTTTTTCTATAGTCTATATATAGTCTCTATAAGGCAAACATTGTAAAATAAAAATAATGTAAAATAAAAAACTGAACAAAAATATTTAGAAGATTAGTTTTAAACCACTTTTTTATTTCAATTTTAATTTTAGTTTAGTTTTTAGTTTAGTTTAGTTTTAGTTTAATTTTTGTTCAACATGTTTTGCTTTAAAGTAGTTTAAAATGTAAATATCATTTTCTCATCATTCACTCAGATTTAAATTAAAACTAAGAAAAACTGATTGAATAAATTTACAACTACTAAATTACAAACACAATTCAAGTTAAGTTCAAGATCAGGTTTGATTTATTTTAAGAGCACACTTAAGCACAGAACAGGGGCACAAATTGGTGAGAAAGTCATAATAAGAGATGAATGTTTCACAATTTGTAGGGTACATGTTCTGACTGCTTTTTCTTAATAAAGTGAAATTGTACTCAAATATTTGTAAAATTCATTCATTCAATTTCTTTTCCGCTTAGTCCCTTTATTAATCTGGGGTGGTGACAAGGGACTGAACCACCAACCTATCCAGCATACATTTTATGCAGTAGATGCCTTTCCAGCTGCAACCCATCTCTGGGAAACATCTATACACACTTTTTTTTAAATTACCCAATTCATCTGTACCACATGTTTTTGGACTTCTCGGGGAGACCGGAGCTCCCACACCAACACACGGAGAACGAGCAAACTCCTCACAGAATTGCCAACTGACCCAGCCTGGGCTCGAATCAGCAACCTTCATGCTGTGAGGCAATTGTGCTATCCACTGCACCACCGTGCAGCCCTGTAAAATTCCCAGTTATGAAAATACAATCTACAGAGAAAAAGAATTAGATTTAGAACAAAGCAGGCGTTTAAATCAGCTTAAATAATAATAATAATAATAATAATAATAATAGTGATAATAATAATAATAGCCTTTTTATGTTATATTTCGAAAGAAATTCTGTATTCCTAAAAAGTAGGTCTTGATTGTTGAAGAACGGGCTAACATTAAATATAAAAACCAGTCATCATACTGTAAATTAGAGATTTATTCTTAAATAAAATAATACTGTTCTCATATATAAGCTTAATAAATTAAAAAAGAATAAACGCAGAGAGACAAACAAATTCAGTACACTTAATCTTACTCAAAAGTAATACAAATATAACATTAAAACAGTAATCATTTAGTCCTATTTTATCATCTCAGCAACCCAATAAGATGTCATAACTCCGCTGCCCTGCACAGTTTATTTCTAAATCAACTTACCTGTAGATTTTAAACAAGCCTGAAGGACTTAATTATTTTGATCAGGTGTGTTTAATTTGAAACTAAACTCTGCAGAGCTGCGGCTCTCCAATAAGTGAGTTTGACGTGAAAATATACGTGAACACTGCAGTTGTTATTTTAAGGCGGAACTATTTTACCGAACTCTTGTTTCTACTCGAAATATATGACCGTGTCGTTCAATAACAAACCGGTGATATGTGGACGTTAGTATGAGAGCAAGTTAACGAATAACCCCACAGGGTAGTGTATGCAGCCCGGTGTTATTTAACATTATGATTAATGATATATTTGAAACGGTTGGACAAGATATAGGCAAGTCTTTATATGCAGATGACGGTGCTTTGTGGAAAAGGGGAAGAAACGTAGAGTATGTTAAAGAAAAAATGCAAAAAGCAGTTAATGAAGTGGAAAATTGGGTAAATAAATGGAGCTTTAAATTGTCTGTAGAAAAAAACAAAGTGATGTGTTTCTCAAAAAAAAGGAAATCCCCAAATATCACAATAAATCTATATGGGCAAGAGTTAGAGCAGGTTCAAGAAATCAGGTTCCTAGGAGTATGGATAGACTCAAAACTTACATTTACAACCCATATAAAGAAAATACAAGATAAATGCAAAAAACGATTAAATATTCTAAGATGTTTGGCAGGAGTAGAGTGGGGTGCTACCAGAAATGCATTAAAAAGAATATACTGTGCTATGATAAGGCCAATTTTAGATTATGGCAGTATAGTATATTGCTCAGCATCTAAATCTCAGCTACAAAAAATTAGTGTTATTCAAAATCAAGCATTAAGAATAGGAAGTGGAGCATTTCGAACATCGCCCATTCCAGCGATTCTGGAAATGGCAGAACAACCAATAAAGTATAGAACACTTAAGCTGAAAATGGCATATTGGAGCACTATAAGAGGGCATGCAGATACACACCCAGTAAAAGCAATAATCAAAAACTGTTGGGAACATGAATATAGCAAGAACAGGAGTTTCGGGTGGAATGCAGAATTGGAGGCCAGGAAATTAGGATTGGATCAAATAAAAATAGGACCTACATTAACTATACCAGATACACCTCATTGGATGTTTCAAGTGCCACAAGTTGATTTACAGATACACAGTATAATTAAGGATAAGAACAGGAGTCTGTCTAAAGATAATCTAGTAAGACGATATCTAAAACAAAAATATTTAAATTATACACAAATATATACAGATGGGTCTAAAAATCCAGACAATGGTTATACAGCAGCAGCTCTATATATTCCTAACAATAAACAAAATGTTTCAGTGAGGTTAAGTAATCATATATCAGTTTTCTCAACAGAATTAATGGCAATATCAATGGCAATACAGTGGGTGGAACAAAATCAGCTATCAAGAGTAGTGGTGTGCTCTGATTCATACTCAGCACTACATTGTTTGAATATGGGGACCTCAGAAACACGACAGGATCTACTAAATGAAATATTTCAAAACATAAATAAAATAAACCAAATAGGAGTAACAGTAGAATTTTTATGGATCCCTGCTCATGTAGGAGTAGAAGGAAATGAAATAGTAGATAAGATGGCAAAAACAGCATTGGGGAAAGATGAGGTGGATATTGAGATCCCGCTATCTAAAACAGAAATAAAATATATTATAAATAAATCAGTAAATAATCTTTGGCAAGAGGACTGGGATTCAGAATCAAAAGGAAGACATCTGTATAATATACAAAATAAAGTGGGGAAAGAAAGGAAAGTATATGGGAACAGGAAGGAAGACACAGTCATATCCAGACTTCGTATAGGTCATTCCAATTTAAACAGTTCACTATTCAAGATAGGGAAAAGGGAAACAGAATGCTGCAGACATTGTGGACAGATCGAAACCATAGAACATGTATTAATCAAGTGCACAAAATATAGAAGAGAGAGGGACCAGTTTAAAATAAAACTAAGAGATTTGGACATGACAGACATTACAATCACTAACATTTTTAAAAATGCTCAGAAAGAAACTAAGGTATATGATTATCTGCTAAAATTCTTGAGGAGTACAGGGTTGTTTTACAGGATTTAATCGGAAAGAATTATATTTTGGTTATTTAGTTAGTTTTATTTAGATTTTTATTATGAATATTGTTTATTATTATTAATATACTATGAAAGGGTTTAAAAAAGGTGTTTTTTTTTTTTTTTTTTTTTTTTTTAGAGAATGTAGTAAGCCTTCCACTCATTGAAGTCTCACACTCCAACACAGTAGGTGGCGGTAATGCACCTCAAGCTGGTTTGCCACCCGCCATTAAACGAAAAAGAAGAAGAAGAAGAAGAAGAAGTTAACGAATAATGATACCTTTTACAGGAGGAAAATGTCAAAGGAAGCTTTTGATGAATTGTCTGTTTTATCCGCCATATATTGCGAGCAAGGCGAATTCGAAGTGCTGGAAGAGTCACGTGAGTTCAGCTTTATAAGTTTCTTATTAACGTTGAGTTTAACGTTACGCTTCTTAAACTATTTGCCACGATAAACAATATTTCCTGCGAAATACCACAGTTAATATGTATGTGTTGTTTTATATTTTCCATTGTTATTAAACAGTAATTCGTGTTAATAATTAACCATAACAAAAGTTTTACAGATGTAACGTTAATGTAATAACAAATGAACTGTAATTTGTAGCCCAAATTTACATAATTGTGAATTTTAAACCACTTTTACATAAAGCTACGTATTTGTAATATTTTAGATAAATTCCACAAAAAGCAAACATACTCACTTTTACATTGTAGTCGTTGTTTTGCTCAGTGTGAGTCTCTGATTGTAGTTTTTTTTATGTTATTTTTTTTTTTACAAATGTTTTCTGCACATATTACATATCACAGATTGTTTTAATATTCATGAGAATAAGGTGTTGTGGCGAGAATTGCACCTCTGCTGTAAAATGCATCCCCTCTGAAATGTGCATATTTTAACCTAAATTAATTGTAAAATTAATAATTAAGTTATGACAACTAATGACAGTGACTCTGTGTGGTGAGTTCCATGAATGAAGCCTTCACTTACTAAAGATATATATTTAAATAAATAAATACATAGTTTTAATATGAATACAATACTGATGAAATTAAGTAAAGTGAATTGTTTAATGTGTGGTTTAGTTGAAAACGACGACTATTTTATGTTTTTTGTTTGTTTAAAACCCACCAAAAAGCCTAATATTAGACTAACAAGATTATTACACTCATTACATCAGTATACTATATTTTATTTTGCATTCATTTGTAAACCTAGTGCATTTCACCCCTTGTTCTTGCTTTAACCATCAAAATAATAATCATATTAGGCTACATTTTAATCAGTTAAAGCCTTTGATTTTTGTTTTAAATGTAGACTGAGAATGCTAATGAAAGTCTATGAAACTGCATTTTACGGCAGAAGTGCACAGCAAAGGTCTTGATAACAGCATATACTGTATCTCTCATTTATATTACTTAACTATAAATCAGTTCTATTTACTTTCAAATGATAAGTCTTCTCACTAATTCTTGAAGCATGAGAAAAACATGTCCCATTGCTTGTCATTTAAAATAAGCTTGAAAATTAAAATGTTTTCAACTGTAAAAGTTATGAGGGTTTAATAATGGAATTAGGGTTGCACAATACTGGAAAAATCCGATATTTTGATATTTTTCTGCGATAAGTCTTGCAATTTAAATACAGTTTCATGAGTTTGAATAGCTCTATTTGATGGTTTTCTGGGGAGTCTGACAGTATTCAGCTACAGAAATTAAAGAATCGCAATAAATAATTTGTTGTCTTGCTTCTAGTCATAATATCTTCAAATTCTTATATATTGTACAAATATTGTTTTGTTTTTAATTTCAGAAGAAATACGTGAAAATTAAGCGTTTTGCCTTAAAACAAGCTATATTATCTGCAAGTGGAATAAGTAAAATAATCTTGTTTTTGCTTTAAAATGTAGATATTTGGACTAGAAACAAGACAAAACTTTTTGCATAAAATGTATATATTCCGCATAAATAAAAGAATTAAATACAATTCTGTGACTCCTTGTCAACTGTAATTCAGACTTAACATAACATATCTTGCGATGTGCTGTGACTATTGCGGATGCACACATTGTTATATCAATGCTAAAAGAAATGCAGAAGTTTAAATTCCATTAGACAACATTTTTATAAGGAGAGTACTTTGATGGACATTTTTAAAAACGTACCACCTGGAAGAGTTAAAATTTTTTTTAACAAAAATAGAGCTGAAAAATCATATTTAACTTTAAATACATTTTTGTGTGAATTCTATCTATTTCTATTTTATACATCTTTCTAAGTAACTTTTTTAGTGTAATACGAATTAGTTTTTTTTATCATGTATTATTTAATGTTTATCCACGAAATAGCCATAAGTTGCTGATGTGGCAATAAATATGTAATAAATAAAATATCAATGCTAAAACAACCTGTCTGTCTGTCTGTCTGTCTGTCTGTCTTTCTATCCTATGGCACTTTCCATCTTCATCAGTGTGTTCACAGATAGGGATTCAGTTTTTCTTATGCAATTAAAGGACACAAATATTACTTTAACAACGAAAAAAAAAAACTAATGTTGTTTTCAATTGGCATTTGCATGTTTTATAAGATTTCAAAGTTGTTCCCTTTTTTGTCAACACTGTCAGACATTTATTAAAAAATATTAAATAATCCAAAGCCAAGGGCAGCTGTTACATCAATGTAAGAAAGCTTCTACTAAGTTTTATAGAATAATTTAAATACAGATGATCATGTGTGACTCTCTGTATATAATCCTCAGTATTTAAAATGTTATTGTTTCACAAATGTATTTAAATTATATTTATATTTATTTAATTATATAAATGTAATAATCCGTTTACATTTATTTGTAGATCATAGTCTGTTCATCTGGATACACAGAATCGTTTTAACCCAATAATGGATGTTCCTGATCTGTTTAAATCTCCTATCTTGTTATGTTTTAATGCAGCTGAAAAAGGAGTTGTGTTCCGCGTACACACGCTAATAGACAACAACGAGAAGACATCGCTAGACATCATTTTCCACATCTCTCCTGAATACCCCAACACTCCTCCAGATATCAGCATCAGTTCCAACCACTTATCAAGGAGACAGTGTCATGACCTGAGACGCAGTTTACTGGACACAGCACAGTCACTTCCAGCAGAACCCATGGTCCATGGTTTAATGCTGTGGCTTCAGGAAAATTTCTCTGACTTAATCAAAACATCAAGCTGCCATTCAGCCGAGGTCAGACCAGAGACTACGGAGGAAACCTGGACCGCTTTACTACATTTAGATCCAACATGATCACATGAGATCCAAAGCAAAGTACATCAAACTGATCGAAAAATGGACTTTAGAGCTGCGCCTCACCGGGAGACTCTTCACAGGGAAGCTGATATTGATTCTGCTGCAGGGAACAAAGGAAAATATTAAAGTACGAGTCTAATATCATATGGAACATCTGTGTGAGAAATATGTGAAGTCCATACACTACAAATTCTTTACATCCATCCAATTAAAAAAATAGGAGAATGGTTAGCATGCCAATTTTATCACTTGATCCAATGAAAATAAATAACTTGCATTAAATAATCTTTTCTAAGTATATGTAAACAATTTTATATAACTTCTTGAACAAACCATGTGTCTTGTTGAAGAAAGTCAGTAAATTATGTTTTTGATCTAAACAAAAAGATATAAATATAATCAAAACTAAAAATATTATGTAAATGGTCGAGGCAGTGGCGCAGTAGGTAGTGCTGTCGCCTCACAGCAAGAAGGTCGCCGGTTCTTGCCTCGGTTTAGTTGGCGTTTCTGTGTGGAGTTTGCATGTTCTCTCTGCCCTCGAGTGAGTTTCCTCTGGGTGCTCCGGTTTCCACCACAGTCCAAAGACATGTGGTACAGGTGAATAGGGTAAGCTAAATTGTCTGTTGTGTGTGTGTGTGTGTGTGTGTGTGTGTGTGTGTGTGTGGATGTTTCCCAGAGATGGGTTGCGGCTGGAAGGGCATACGCTGCCTAAAAACTTGCTGGATAAGTTGGCGGTTCATTCCACTGTGGCGACCCTGGATTAATAAAGGGATTAAGCCTACAAGAAAATGAATGAATATATGTAAATATTATCCAAAGGATGTTTAACAGAGCAAGGAATTTTTCACAGTATGTCTGATAATATTTTTTCTTCTGGAGAAAGTTTTTTTTGTTTTATTTTGGCTAGAATAAAAGCAGTTTTTAATTTCTTAAACATCATTTTAAGGTCAATCTTATTAGCCTCTTTAAGCTTTGTATTTTTTCAATAATCTACAGAATAAATCATCATTATACAATAACTTGCCTAATTCCCCTAACCTGCCTAGTTAACCTAATTAACCTAGTTAAGCCTTTAAATGTCACTTTAAGCTGTAAGTGTCTTGAAAAAAATCTAGTCACATATTAATTACTGGCAAAGATAAAAGAAATCAGTTATTAGACATGAGTTATTAAAACTATTATGTTAAGAAACGTTTTAAAAAAACCTGCTCTCCGTTAAACAGAAATTGATGAAAAAAACAAACAGGGGGCTAATAATTCAGGGAGCCTAATAATTCTGACTTCAACTGTATATGTTATATTAATTTTTTTTCAGGTCTTGAAAGCTATTGTAACAGACATTGAAAGCTTTATTAAGCTCTATATGTGTAAAAAACACAAATACAGTACAGCACACGCCAGATAGGCAGTTTAATGTTTTTATTGATGCCAACTTGTAGCAAAAACAACAGGACTCAAACAAGTTATTTGCTGAAAACGTCAATAGATGACAATTGATACTGAACATGGATAAATGAAACAAAACAAAACAAAAAACAGAAACAGTTACAATAAAGATGAAGGCCCTTCACTGTCCCTTATGGTGCCTTTCATGAGTTCACACTTACCGATCTTTGACTGAATAGAATATGCATATTTGGCGTGTTGTCTGGGGAAAGGACTCCATGCTTGGAAAGACACCCTAAATCATGTTGTTCCTCTTGTCAGGATAAAGAGAGAGATCAGAGTGAAGTATCTAGCCCAATTTAACCTCCAATTTATGTAGGAATCGGGTTTAAAGGTGTGAAGTTGGGTTGGTGGATGGAGGAATAATGAGTTAGCCTTGTCAAAAATGTCCCCAAAATTTGTTGATAAAATATCACTTACGACAACTGCCATTTTCTCGCTGCAGATGATGAGGTTATTAGATTGCACAGCATTTAAAAACAAAGTTACTATGTTATGTAAAATTAAATTACATTTTTTTACTCTCACATGTTTATGTAAAATGTTTTAGCAAATATAGACTGAATGGGATAGTTATTGCAAATTTTTTAGTTGAATCAAATTAACTTTTGTACTCATCTACTTACACCAATCAAACCAACTAACATATTAAGTTAAAACCTTATTAACTTATTAAAGGAAGTTATAGCAACGTAAAAATAGTAGTTGTCTTGAGTTTTTGTCATTATATATTTTTTTATAGTGCGTGTTAAATAAGAATAAGTGAAATATAATTTTTAGTTTCATTTATGTATGCAAGAACACTCATGCTAAACCTGCTCTTTATAGCAATATATCCACCTTCTGAAGAGTGTGAAAGTGGATGTGGATTCTTCTGGGAAGCGCTGTAAGGAGAAGATGATGAGTGTCCTGTGTGAGATTCCAAAACCAGAGGACAAGATAATGTAAGCAAATACTGTGCAAGCTTTCAATAGCTCTTTTTTACCTTTAATGATGCATTCTGTAATACAGTATGTTCACTCTACTACACATTTCACAGCTAGCCCTGTCATTTTCCTTATCTTCTTTTAGGATGACTACGTTTGAAGTAAAAGACATTTTATCGCTTGATGACCTCAGAAGGGAGTTTGATCTCATTGGACTAAATGAGCTTTATCATCAGTTTGTGTCTTCACTCACCTGATTGGACAGCTGCTGTTTAAATCCCTCTCCCCTCCTCTGAAGTACTGTTCACAACTTTTTTAACTGCAAATAGAAAACATAAAATGCAATTTAATTAAAGGGGTGTTCCACACTGTATTTTTAAGGGTTGGTTGTGTTTATAAGATGCAACGCAGTGTGTGCTTATGCTTCATTTGTAGAAAATCACGATATTTGTTCATTTATCTTACTTTAATTATATACAGCCACTCAGCTATCATGAAAACCACTGTCATATTTCCTAGTTCCTCCGAAAGGCCCGCCCTAAAAAGGCTCTGATTGGTCAGCTAACATAATGTGCTGTGATTCGCGGATCGGCTTCACATCACCAAGAAAAGTGTCACGCGCCTACAAGCAGATCAGCATGTCACAATAAGTTTGATATCCACTGACATGTATTGTCAAATAACTGAATATTATTTATTGTGGCAATACATACTAAAGGTATAACTACGAATAAATAAAATAAATGCTTTTAATTTAAAGTGGAGTAGTCCAGCATATAAAGTAACTTGCGATGCAATAAATCATGTTAACAGCTGCATAATGATTAAATATTGTTTGCGTGTGTTGATTAGAGTCATTAAGCCCCGCGACACAGGTCACTACACATATCACTATGGAGTGACACATGACGGTGAAAACTGCACATGCTGTTGCACTGTTACATCCGCAAAGATGACAAATAATGTACTAGAAGTTTTTTATACTTTTATTGTTGTCCTTCACTGTCCTGTTCCACAACTCTTACATTAATTGTATAATGAACACATTACTCTAATTAAACTTAAGATAATGATCAACTAAATATGCAACAGTCAATACACTCAGTGGCATTTGTACGTCAGATGCTGTGTCACTTCATGTTAAAACTGCTGCTGCTTTTGCACTGTGTAAACATTTTGTCAGAGTAGCTGTTAACCGTATTAGAGCCTGCGTCAGACAGAAAATGAAGAGCACAGAGCTGAACCTCAGTCTGCTCTCTAAAATAAAGTCTGACAAGTCTTTCACAAATATTCTGGTTATAAGCATGTGTAAGTAATGTGAAACGTTCACAGATCTTTTGTAAGTTTATTATTTGAGATGTAAAAGTGCAGGGAAAGCGTCTGCATAGAGAGACACTGCAGCGCTGCTGAAGATTGTGGGTGTTTACAGCGGCTTGACACATAAATATGAATTTGTAGCTAAATTGTTAGCGGTGCTAAACAGCATTTTTCCTTGTTTACTGTAATAAAGTTTACGGCCCTTTGGCCGCCGGGAAGAAGGAGGCGGAGAACCGACGTAGTTTAAAATATTTATTTATAATAAACCAAAACAAACGGACGGCAGAACTGAAAGCAAAAGTAAAATACCCGGGCCTGGTCCTCTCTCGTCTTCCTCTGCCATAGTTCCTCCTTTTATGGTCCAGAGCTCCTTCCGTGGGATCCGAGGCAGGTGCCACCGCAGGTGTATCCACTTATGTGGTGGCCTCACTCCGTTCCAACGGCTCTCGGCCACGCCTCCTCGCCACATTTACATCCTGTTTAAATCCACGCTACAACATACTGTTAATGCTAGACACTGTGCATGTTGTTGATCAATTTTAACAAAGAAAAACACTTGCAGGTTGTGACTCACAATCCACAGCTTCTTCTTTTATGGTTGAAGCTGCTGCTTCTGTGAGGTGTTTTTAACCAAATCCAGTACTGAACTGGGAGAGATTCTGGAAGCTGTTCTTTGTCAAATGCTAGCTATATCTTTTTTATTATTCTCCGAAACATAATTAAAAGGAAATTTTAAGCATTTCTCTCTTTGTGTCGTGCCCTTTGGAATCCCAAAAACAGAAACCGAACAAGCTCTGTGGAAAGAGCAGCGTTTGGACAGCATTTTAGCTTTCTCTGCTATAACATTACAGCGCATCTGGCCACACAGGGTGTGTGCATGTGGTGAATGCGCATAACCTGAAGCCTCTGTGATCTTACTTGCCCAGATGTATTTTTTTGTAGTCCCCAAATTTCGTTTGCTGTCGGCTTTGCTAAGCTAACTCTGTAAATGCCAATGTCTCTCTTTGCTTTGAACTTTGAGCGTATTACATTCAGAGATGTTGTTTATGTTCACACAGCAAAATTACACATCAACTAAAGTTTAAAATAGGATATCGTAGTGGACCACCACTTTAAAACAAGATATCTCTGTCCTAGATCTAAAATACAGGACATTACTTCATAAAATCTCTAGGAGTCTCAAGGAGTATATTTGATGCAGTTTTTTAGTAATCTATTTTTAATTTTAGTAATTTGAACAAATTAAAAAGAATGTGCTCTGAATTTGTAAACATAAAATCAAAAAAGTTTTGAAATCAACTGTACGATAAAACTATTGTCATCTCCTAAGTTTAGCACAATCGCATTAGTAGTAGAAGCGAGATGGGCCAGTTGGCATGTCTCTGTGGATTGCATGTTCTCTCCGTGTTGTCGTGGGTTTCTTCTGGGTGCTCCGGTTTCCCCCACAGTCCAAAGACATGCGGTACAGGTGAATGGAATAAGCTAGAAGTGTTGTATGTGTGTGAATGTGTGGGTTCATTCGGCTGTGGCAACACCTGATGAATAAAGGGACTAAGCTAAAGGAAAATGAATGAAGTTCTACACAGCTGCTACACCCTAATTCATTCATTAATTTTCTTTCGGCTTAGTCCCTTTATTTATCAGGGGTTGTCACAGCGCAATGAACCGCTAACTTATCCAACATGTGTTTTACACAGCGGGTGTCTTTCCAGCTGTAACCCAGCACTGGGAAACATCCATACCCACTTAATACCCACACACATACACTATGGCCAATTTTGTTTATTCAGCTTGGACTGTGGGGGAAACCAGAGTACTCGAAGAAAACTGAACACGAACATGGGGAGAACATGCAAACTCCACACAGAAATGTTAACTGACCCAGCCGGGACTCAAACCATCGACCTTCTTGCTGTGAGGCAACAGTGCTAACTACTGCTAAATCACATTATTTATTTGACAGCTAATTTTATGATCCAATACTACATCAAGAAACTTAATTGGATATACTCTTTCTATTACTTCATTATCAATTTTTAAATCTATATTAAGACTACTTTTTAATTTCCCAAATAACATAACCTTTGTTTTACTTATATTTAATGACAGTTTGTTTACGTCAAACCACAATTTAAATTTATTAATTTCTGTTTTAATCAACTCTATAAGTGTTGGTAAATTATCCCCAGAGCAAAAGATACTTGTATCATCCGCAAATAATATAAACTTAAACAACTCTGATATTTTACACGTATCATTCATGCAATTTATAAACTATTATATACTATTTTGGCAGTTGTTGTAATCCATGAATTTTGGATAAGCTACAAGCTAATCCAGCTAAAATAGTAGTTAAAATGTCACTAAAATACAGTATTTAAATCTCATAGTTTAATCTCATAGAAAATGAGGCATATAACTGCAGAAAGGTCCACTTTTTGAGAAAGCTCTATCACCAGGCTGGCTAAAGGCTTGTATATGTATGGTGGTCTCAGATTTTAGAGGGTGATTTTACTTGCAATGACAGACTCAAAGCTCTAGAGGGCAAAAACAAGCCATGGTTACTGCTAAAAATCAATGATCTTACCTGCTCCTCGCTAAGAACAAACAGTTTTCCTCTTTCTGAGAACAGAACTCAGTTTGTTTCCTTAATGCAATTAAAATAAAGTAAATCTGGCTGAGCTCTTGATGTGAAGATGCTCTTTAAATTAAACTTGTAAATTTTATTTGGCACTCACGCTGACCTTAAAGACATCTTTTCTACTTCAAACAAATTAAGACTCCTTTTTAAAATCCACGGTTATTTATTTTTTTTTGCAGGTTATTAAACACTTTGTTTTATATAAGGTTTTTTTCTCGACATCAACTTTAATTAGGCGAAAGGTATGAAGCAGTTCTGTTTTTAGCTCAGTGTTTCATACACCCACATGCACACGTTGTATAGCTGGCTGTCATCTTCTGTTTATCTTATACACATCGCGGAGACAGCTGCTGCCTAGGCGGGTCCAGGAGCAATTGACATGAAATTACTTTTTTTAAACATAATTAACAAGGCTTAATGAAAATCACCTCCTCGCCCTTTACAATGATCCACTCTGAACTATAAATTCACCTTGCCTGACCTTTTCCCTGACATGTTCTTACAAAACAACACTGCTTGTTAAATGTCATCCACTCAGTGGCATTTACTTGTATAAAACAGGGCTTTGATCCAGAGGAGAAGCACACTTTCCTACCTTTCCTGGGCCACCCCGGCGACCCCATGCGCCTGTTACCTGTTGAATATTTTAATTACGGCCCATTAAAATGTACAAAGGTTACGTTGAACTTAAAATTTATTGGCCAAATGACATTTTAATTTGCCAAATTAACGCTACATCTATGACTTTTGTTCCTAGCTTTTTCTGATCCCACTAAAAGCATCAATTTGGAATTCTATCCGACTGCTAATGATTGGTTACATCAATGCAGAAGCACGACTAATGTGAACCGCTGCAGCCCACTGTGTCCAACTCTATCCAGGTCAGTATTGTATGAACTCTTTCACAAGAAACCCGATGCCACCAAAACCTTACAATTAACCTAAAAAGTGGAGCAACAGAATTGTGAGAAATTCACTTTTATAAGATGTTTGAACAAAGATGTGGGTGTAAACCATCAGCCCATAATGATGAAAGTCTTTCTAAACAGACGGTTTCAGATTTTCCCTTTACTTTTTTGTAAGAGTATACTTTGAAATGCAAAATCTGTTACTTGAGAAGTACATTATTGTACATATTAGTACCAAAAGAATCCCATTTGTACCTTGAAAGAAAATAATAGGAGCTAAAGAGTCTATAATGTACCTTATAAGCAGGGGCAGAGTGGGACTAAAAATCAGCCCTGGCACTGTAGCCACACTAGCCCACATTACCACACCGACACAGCCCCATCCACCGACACGCACATTCACTACTTATATTGGTGTACAGATGGTGAAATATTTTAAGCAGTACCATATTTTACACAGCGGATGTCCTCCAAGCTGCTACCCATCATTGGGATACCCCTATACACACAGATTCAAATACATGCACTACAGACAATTAGGCCTACCCAATTCACCTAGAGAACATGTGTTTGGACTTGTGAGGGAAACCGGGAGGAAACCCACATGAACATCCAAACTCCACACAGAAACACCAACTGACCCAGCCGAGGTTTGAACCATCGACCTTCTTGCTGTCGACATTGTCCTTTCGAGACTATTTCAGTTAATTTTATGCATTTGGCAGGGTTTGAAAGCAATTTTTGTCTTTCTCTGGGGTCTTCGGCACCGCCTTTCCTTTTTTTACGGTCCATCTCTGACAATTAGCTTGTGTTGCACTTACTGTTTGTTTGACGTTCTTGCCAGATTTTGATTACGTCCATGTAACCTCTGATTGGGTCGGCCCATCTCGAAACCAGTCGGCCATTGCAGATTGGGCCAATGCTTAACATTTATTATTATTATTATTACTATCATCATCATCATCATCATCATCAT